GGGAGGGGGGATAGTAGAGGATAGGAAAGGCAGCAGAATACAACAGACTTGAGTATGTCAATATGTAAATCAATGGAAGTGTAACTGATGTGAATGTGCAATCTGTATAGGGGGTAAAAATGGGAGTTCATAACCCACTTGAATCAAAGTGTGAAATATGATATATCAAGAACTATGTAATGTTTTGAACAACCAACAATTAAAAAAATAAAAATAAAATAAAAATAAAAACATCATACTTCACCATATGATGAACCTCTAGAAAATCATATTCTCACTTGTGGGTGGCAGTAATTTCTTTATTCCAAAATAACCATAAAGCTGAGATGCCTACTTCATTTTAACTAGATCGTTCTGTGGCATTTTGAAAATCTCAGTTCAGTTTATTACAAGTATCAAAGTCAGACTGGAGATGCTATCTGACAAGTACCTTGGCTTTTCCTTTGTGTACAGCTTTCTCATTTTATTCAACAATACACACTGTAACTACAACGGACAAGGGAAAAGATAACTCACAAACTATATCCTAAACAAAAAGATAGTACAATGATTTAGTTTTCATTTCTACCTATGTCATGACATCAAAATTAAAGAAAAAACTAAGCTGAGTTTAACTCATAGAAATGCCAACACAATTGGACAATGTAAGCCTACATGAATAACAATGAGTACATATTCTTAGCATTCCATGTTCACCATTTTATTTTAAATTTGTTCATGATGTTTAATACCAAAAATCAATGAAAGTATTTCTGAGGACTAACTTACCCTATTTGGGGTGATCTCTGAACAAAATACATTATCGGGAGTGAATGTATTTTTCTCCAAATGTCAAATTTTATTACAGTCAACAGATTAAAAATATAAAAAGGTCACTTCCCTGGAGACAAATGCCACAAGAATTTTTAAATTACCTCATATTGACATCAAATTCCACAAACAGAAGGATAAGACATTTTGAATAAGAACATGAAAAACTTAAGTGCTACTCACAAGAATAGTTCCATAACTGAAAAGAAACTCTTCTGTTACAACTTGAGGTCGAAATACCTGTGTGTGATGAGAGTTTCCACAGATTAAATCCCGAAAACCATGAACAGATTTTGTTCAAGAGAAACACAAATAAAAATGGTTTTTCTGAATTGATGTTTCTCAGCTTCAGTTTACAAAGAAGTGAGACAATTTATATTATCTTTTCCCTAAAATGATGGTACAGTACCTGAGAAGTGACGAGGTGAAGTACTACAGGCATCAGGGGGAGGCACATCTTCAGCTGTTTTGCTTGAACTGTGGATGGGTGTTTACGACCAGAGACATTAGCCAAGGCGTTGAGAATGTCACCTGTGAAGCATCCCAGAGCAGGCGCAGAGGTTAAAGGATCAGACGTGGAGGTGCCCATGGCCATTGCTTGATTACTAATTAATTTCCAAATAATGGGTCTAAATGGTATGAGCTGTGTTCTTTTTATTCACAGGTACTGAGTTTAGAAGACACCATGGCCACTGGGGACAGAATGCAATATTCTGCATAAAAGCTATCAGTTAACTCAATCTCTCATCTAGAATTAAAAATAGAATTTACAAATAATTATTACACACTGGTTTTAGAAAATCTTTTTGTATTTTCCAAAGTTCAACTATATTGCTTATTTCTCTTATAAACAGGAATAATTACTTTAAATTTTTAAGTGAACAGATAGTGGATCATGACTTTTAAAAACCAAAGGATATAGAAGTAAAAAGAGATCAGTTCCCAAAACCTACCTGAACTCAGCTACCAACTGAAAAAAAAAAAACCTCTCCTGATGTTTTAGTAAAGAGCAAAAAGAGCAAAAAGTTATTATCAGTTGATCATGAAGATATTTTCATTATTTTAAAGTTCTGAATTTCTATTTCTTAAGTATACTTTATCATAACAGTTTGAAGAAAACTATATTTTAAACACTTTTGGTTAATAGCTACATCCGCTGGAAAAGCATGCAAAGGGATTTAAACTACACGTACATTTTCCTTATTTAAACTTCTTCAAATAAAAAAGTGATTTAATTGTAATAAACATTCTTTACAAATCACTATCAGATATTTTTACCTTAAGGATAGTTTTTCAAACCAAAGACATCTTCAAACATTGAACTTTAAACCAATACTGTCAAAATTCTTTAATATTAAATTTTGACATTTCAGTTTTTTAAATTCTATATATGTTCAAGTTCTTTTATCAATTTTAATTTATGACTCTAATCTTTTTTTAGGGGTTGGGGGAGTAAGCAGGAATTCAACCCAAGAGCACTATACCACTGAGTCACATCCCCAGCCCTTTTTTAATATTTTATTTAGAAACAATTCTCACTGAATTGCTTAGGGCCTTGCTAAATTACTGAGGCTGGCTTTGAGTGATCCTCCTGCCTCAGCCTCCTGAGTAGATAGGACTATAGGCATGTGCCACTGTGCTCAGCTATGGCTCTAACCTTAAGAGAAAATTATTTTCTTCAGATTTAGGCAGGGATAACTTTTGAGAAGTTACCTGCAATAATCATAGAAGTCCAATTTTAAGCAATTAACATGTTTCCTTCTGTTTATTTCTAAAATTCCCAGATTACCTCAGATAACACCTCAATATAACATTTAGCCTGCTCACATCTCAAAAATATCACTAATGCCAAATAATTATAAAGACAGATAAATCTTGAAACTACATTTAAGGAGAGTGCCATTGCACTCTCCTGTAAAAACAGACAAGACAGTGCCTAAAAGCTAAGTCACAGAAAGGTAAGCAGCAAGAGGGCCTAAGGACAAGACTACAATTTACAGAGGATTGTTGGCAGTTCCTGCACGATGTGACGGATGAGAAGATCCAGGCATCTAGAGAGGTATTCACCACTGCCTTGCTGCTCCTTGCCTGGAGTGGTCTTTCTGCTGTCCCTCTCGATGTACATCACCAGCCTACAAATGGAAAAGGGCACAGATCACCTCTCATAAGACAGTTACCAACATCTGTCCCAAAAAGCAGCCAAGGCAAGGGTTTCCAGAGGACCTGGTCCCAATCATGTGGACATTTAGATTCACCAATTTTTCAAGCAGAGTCAATAGTGATAGTCAATTTCTGCCTTAGAAAGTTCAAAATGTTTACGCAGAAAGAACATCAGGCAACTTTGAATCTGTCTCCTAGGGTATTACAAAACAAAGCCCTGATTTGATTTGCCTTTGGTCAATGGAAGAAAACATTATTCTCCAGATGATAAATGAAAGGCACACAAAGATATCTCCACATAAGAGAGCTTTTTGTGTTCCAAAGATTCCAAGCATAACCACAAGTTGACCTGCACTTTTGGTGATCATCAGCATTAAATTTGATTGAATTCATATGAATTCCTATTCTTTTAGTAAACTGTATGCATAAATGTAAAAAAAAAGGTTTCATTTTACACTGGGTTATATAGATAGCAGGTACTGTCTAAACATCTGGATTGTACATGTCTCTCTACTAGTTTTATAATATCTTTTAACCACAGCAAACCACATCAGTATCTGAATCAAATATTTCCAACTCAGAACTAGAAAACACAATGGACCATGTGTCAGACCGGGCCTGATGCAAACTTCAGTGGATCATTTCAGCTTTTATTCAGAAACAGAACTACATCTACGGGAATGGATCCCCTTTTCTGGTGGAAAACGAGCCACTGAACAAAGGAGGGGACTGGGCTTTTATAGGTTGTAGGTGATTTAGTGAGCATGTCAGTCTGGGCACTCAGGAATTTGAGTTTGGGGGCTGGGGGTCCAAGGCCAGCACCTGGAGAAGAGTTATCTTAGAAGAGATCAGTGTTTCCTAGAGGCTATCACTTTAGGTTTGATGAAACAATTTCTTCCGGCCTGCATCCAGTATCTGAAAGGGATTTACCTTGAGAAAGATGAAACCTATCAATATCTGGCTTTTTTTTTTCAGCCCATTTTCCCAGGCCTCACTATTTTGGCGATTTTCATGTTCCATATCCAATAAATCATATTATGATTTAGATGTGGTACCCCTCCTCCAAAGCTCACATGTGAGACAATCCAAGAAGGTGTGGAGGAGAAATGATTGGATTATAGCCTTAGCCTAATCGGAGAGTTGGTCTCTGATGGGATTAACTGAAGTGGTAGGGTGTGGCTTTGGTATATATATTTGTATCTGGCAAGTGGAGTTGCTGTCTTTTGATCACATGACATGAGCTGCTTCCCTCCACCACCCTCTCCCACCATGATGCTCAGCCTCGCCTCCAGCCCTGAGAAATGGAACCAGGCTTCTATGGACTAAGACCTTTGAAAACACAATGGACCTCAAACTTTTCCTCCTCTATAGTTGTTCTGGTAGTCATAGCAGCGAAAAAGCTAAAACAGACCATGACCTTAAATATTTAGGATGCTGTTCTGGTTGAGGCCCTCCCCACTTTTTCTCAAATGAGTTTGATGAACTCAGTCATTTTTACAATTTCCCATTCCCCGCAACTCTCTAAATGACGAGTTCATGGATTTCATCATGGAAAAGTCCCTTTGCAACAACTTCCCAGCCATCCATCTCTCCATTTCTGTTTTCTTACTCATCCCACTGAACTTTTGCTTCTCAATTCCCACTATAAACTTGAAAGAGGTGGTTTTGTACATAATATAGATACATAGGCATACTGATATCTTGACACAGAATTCATGTGATTATCAATAGATTTATCCATGCATTTGCCTTTGTTTATTACTATTTATAACCCCATAAGTGAACACACAGGAAGTTAGTCTAGATTCTGCATCAGTTAGCATCCTCTGTTCTAGTCACTGATTATAGATAGCTCTTGCCACACTCTAACAAATGTAAGGCACTGGTTAAAATATGAGAGAATATTGATGTATCACTAGGAAGGTATCAATAGTACTTGAAAATAGCAGCATAAAACTTTCTGATAATGAATAACCATAGAGGAGCAAGACCTCATTCCTTTTTATGATAAATGGACTATAAAAACATTAGTCATGTACTGAATGGAGCTGTCTTGGAGTTCCTAGTCCTGAAGAATCATCATGGCTCATAGCTTCTAAGAGAATGGCAGTAACTCCAAAAACCTTTTAATTAGTTGGGACCTGTTCCATCAGCCCAACCAAGGAGAAGGACAGCCCTACTTCTTCTTGTTTTGCTTCCCAAAATGGGTTGCTTGACATCTCTGCTAACTTTGCCATGGTCAGATTTGGACAGATTTTCCAAAATTAAAGATGGCATTTAAGTACATCACTTTTCAAGTTAGGTTTTTGCAGACCCCCCCCCCCGACTGTATCTGGTCTCGTTTCTACTTGCTAAAATCAAGCACTTCCACTGTGACCATTCATTCCTCAACTTCCTGGGAACTTTTATTAATTTAATCTGTGAAATTTCTTCTCAATTCATTAGCCCTTGCTTTTCTTCACTTTCTTCATGATTGGAACTACAGATTAGTCAGATGTTCATGAATATAATGAAATATCTGAGACAAGCTACTTATGAAGAATAGGGTATTTAAAGCTCACAGTTTTGGAGATTTAAGGGCTCAAATCATCTGTGGATGGTCTTCCTGCTGGCAGTCATGAGGCACCACACAGCATCCATCATGCATCAAGAGACAGAAAGCTCTCGTGAGAGTGTGTGTGTGTGTGTGTGTGTGTGTGTGTGTGTGTGTGTGTGTATATGTGTGGTCTCTCCCTCTTCATATAAAACATCAGGACTCAACCATGGGAGCTCAACCCTAATAAATTAATCTAATTCTAATCAGTTCCCAAAGGACCCACTTTTAAATGCTGTGATCAGATTAAGTTTTCTCTTCTAATGCCTCACAATAGGAATTATCAACACATGAAACCTTGGAAAACACCAAAACTATATCCAAACCATAGCCAATTATCTCCCACAATCTATTATTTGACTACACTCTTGCTGCTCTTTCTTTTCTTTGTACCCATAAAGCCACATGAACTCTGGATGCATCCGACCATCTATTTTCTACAGAGAAGGATGCTAAAGTAAACTAATGGAGTAAATGTATTCAACTATAAATGCGTTAACTCCACTGTTGAATGACCCAAATGGTATCAATGATTCAAGTGGTCACCTTGGTCATCTTATTCCCAAAGTCTACTTTCAATATTTTCTTCTTTTCAAACCACCAACCTTCCATGTTATCATGAGATTGAGTGTTGTGCCTCCAAAGTACGAACACACAAAGAAAACGTACAGAAACCCTTCCTTTCACAACAATGGATCTGTCCCTTCTTCCATCTATGCTGACCCTTTCATGGTTTTCTAGCAACTGCCCTTCTGTCTCATCTTCTGCTAAGTGTCTTAAAAGGCAAACCTATAAATACCACCTCCACTCTTCTAGATATTTGTTCCTCAATCCTGCTCTATCTGGTTTTCACTCCCATCACTCTCTAAGGTCACCTCAAATCCAATGGGCATTAGTCTGCCTTTACTTGTCGTGACAAGTCAAAGTTATTGAATACTGTTCTCATGCCTCTCGTTTCTCTATCCATCATGACATCATACTTTCCTAGTTCTCTTCTCCAGCTTCTTTGGTTGTTCCTTCACACTGTGTGTGCTCCTAAATCTTCAAGTTTATTTTAAAAAATGACTTCTAGGCCATTACTTTCCTCTTTCTATCCTTTTGACCCAGGCCATCCACTTTAATTACCTGCCATATTAACAGACACCTTCCAATTCATATCTGGAGCTAAAACCTAAGCCAATATATTCAACTACTGACATGATATCTGCTTTTGTTTGCCTTAACTACACTTCAAACACTATGCAACCCAAAATAAACATCATTATCTCACCAAACCTGGTTGTCTTACAGCTATGGTATCCTATTCTAGACTATTGTTCTTTAGCCTATAAAGGAAACCAGAAACCCAGCAAGTCAATCTTGAATGGTTCTTCAAAGCCTTAGATTCTCCACTCTCTAGCCAAGTGCAATCTACCATATTCCCTTGTCCTAAACTACCACAATAGCCATCCAGGTAGGTTATATGCTTGTTTCTGTCAATCTAGCCCCTACACACAGTACATCTAATCTATTCTCATCCATCCAGCAACTCCCCTATTAGAAACCCTTCTATGGCATCTCATTATTCTTAACATGACAGCTCTCAAAACTCCTTATCATTACCTACAAGGCCTACAAAATCTGGCCCCCAACTACCTCTCCACTTCATCATGCTTTTTCTATCCTTCAATCACAATGTCCTTTTAGTTTCTTAAACTCAGTACTTCCCACAGAAACAGGCTATCACCTTAACTTAGATGGCTCTTCTCTCCACTTCTTGCTAATACATTTACATCTATATGCCATAATTCCCTACAATTTTCACTCATTTCCCTAAATAAAATCCTTATATATCATTATATCATAGAAGAGAATGCATTAAAGTCTTACCCAACTATAAATTTCTAATACATATTTTTTGATTACTTGATGACACTCATCATCCTTGTAAACTTTAAAGGACTAAATCTGATTCCGATAATCACATCTTTCCCCTTCGGGGCACAGTTTCTGAAACGAATTAAGTACTCAATAAATATTAGATGAATAGGTAAATACAGCTGTTGAAATGGCCTTACGGTTTTCTCTAACTCTCAATAGCAATTGCTTGGTCTTTATTATTCCCTAGGCCCTTTTCTTAATTCTAATATTTGATGTATGTTTGCTTAAAATTTATACTACTGGATTATATAAAAGGTTAAAAAACAAACAAATGAATCTGCATAGAAAAAAAAATTCCAGGAGAAATATCAGAAGGCTCATAAACTGGGGGAATGTTTTCCATTTCATATCACAAAAGTTTAATGTATATATACACACACATCTCTCAATTAGAAAAAGACTAAAGGCAAGAAAAATAAAAGGCACACAGAATTTTAAAAGGAAATATACCCAAAATAC